TGTTAGGACCAGAGATTATAGCTTGCGAGTTAAAGATTCGTAGTCTGTTCTATGACATGTCTCGCGGAATGGAGTACTTTGGGGTTGGAGCATGGCAATTACCGCTCATGTTGTTGTCTCAAATTCGCAGCGGGTACAAGGCATAGAGGTGTCGGTCGGATTTAGCTTCACTTATACCACAGTCCGGTTGCTGATCGTTCGCTCCTGAAGTGAGAACTGCAATGCGATGCGATGCTCTTTGGGCTTAGTTACTATTGTTACTTTGTTAGTACCTACCTCAAAGCAGTGGCGGAGCGTGAATCAGATATTAGAGGGGGCCAACTGAGTGTATATGACATAGAAAAGGCTAGGGTGATCAGAGACGCCAGAGTATTAGTAGAGCAATTAGCAGATAAATAAGAGTATTTGGCAAATTTTCCTCTTGGAAGGGGGGGCCAAGGCCCGGAATTGTCCCCATGACGCTCCGCCACTGCCTCAAAGGTCTAGTCAGATGATCTTCATGAAACATACGCTTTGCTTAGTACAATATGAGAGCTGTTTCGCTATGCTGATTTTGCGTTTTCCGCTTCCTGCCTCTTGCAGATCCCAGTCAGATGATTAGTTGACTTCTTCATGAACGAACGGCTACCTTGCTGCATGCTTGTCAGAGATGAGCTCAAATCGTAGATCTTCAAAAGCTCGAAAATCAACAACTAATTACTACCGGCTTCCATTTGATAAGCACCGATTATTTGATCCAGATGCATTTCTTTCAAAGGATCGTTGTGCCAATCAATCACAAAGTACTCAATCAGGCAGCAGACATACTGATAAACTTTTCACTACTCCTCAGTTAGTATCCGCATTGACAGGGATCTGGAATCTTGTTGGACACCCAGAATCTTCTGGCACAACAGATCAAAGATCTGTGAGCGAGGAGATTTTGCACAAGGAAGACCCTGTGTGCTTTACTAGGGACCGAGAAGGACACACATTGACATCTTGCACCGAAAGCTCAACTGGCCTCAACTCTCAAACCTGTTTATCAACACCAAAATCAATCCATGAAGATCTTAGATTGGTGAAGAAGATGTTAATGCTCCGATCATGCAGCAACATGATTGGTGCTTCTGCCACATGGAGACATATGCATCTTACCAGTAAACTTGGGAACATGCATTATCAAAATATATACCCCATGCAAACCAAAAAGCTAGGAGCTTGTGCTACTTCCAGCAGTATGGACATCAAGGAGGACGACTGCTTCGGAAGGGGTGATAACTGTTGCAGTCAAACAGGAGACATGCCAGCTGAACAATGCACGAGCTCAAGTGAGGAGGATAATATCATGTATGCCTGTGAAAATTCTCTACATTATGATAAATTAAATGCAGAGGTTTCTAGAGAATATTCCAATATGTCTGCTTGCTCATCAGAGCAGGTTTGCAAAGAGGCAGGGATAATGCTGGAAAAACAGATTTCCAGCACATGCGAACATATTCGGCCTGAAGGGTTGACATGCACATCTTGTGTGGTTGGTGATGCTATTGTTAATCCACCAAATGTACACCAATATACCTACAGGGAAGATATATCTCAGCAGGATTTTGTAGACAAGCGTTCGTCTGAGTTTGAATCATCCTTGGGGCATCGATTTCATGGTGCTGTTGGTGCGAACAAGCATGCTGCTGCAGGAGCAATAGCTGGGACAGTTGTCAGCATCTCTCTGCATCCAGTTGATACGGTGAAAACCATTATTCAAGCTAACAGTTCTGGACAAAGCTCATTCTACCACATACTAAGACGCACCCTTGTTGAGAGAGGTAATATTTTGGGTGTATTTACACACACTGAGACACTATCAATAAGTTTATCGTATTTCCATGTCCTTTTCCCTATTGTCAAACATTAACTAGAATTTTTCATGCTTGGCAAATATTTCTCTACAGGTGTCTTAGGACTTTATGGAGGGCTTGCTAGCAAAATTGCTTGTTCTGCACCAATTTCAGCTATTTATACCTTAACTTACGAAATAGTAAAGGGATCACTTCTTCCTACTTTGCCGAAGGTGATTTCATTTTTATTTTGCAATTGAGATCCAACTAATGTAACATTCGTACTCACTTTAATCTTATACTATGTTATTACATTGACATCTCTTCAGGACTACCATTCCATTGCTCATTGTGCTGCGGGTGGTTGTTCTAGTATTGCAACATCCTTTATTTTTACACCAAGTGAATGCATAAAACAACAGATGCAAGTCGGTTCGCAGTATCAGAATTGCTGGTATTTAATTTCCATGCCTCTCCTTGGGTTATTCATATGTTTTCTTTCTTTATTTAGAAGCTTTTTTTTGCTGATAAATAAGGACATGACAAAAACATACTCCCTCTGTCCCAAAATAAGTGTCGCTGATTTAGTACAACTTTGTACTAAGTTGTACTAAATCGTACAAAGTTTAGTCAGTGACACTTATTTTACAGAGGGAGTATTAATTTGTCAGCCCTAGTCCTGCATCCTGACAATAACCTGCTATTTATATTAAAAAATGACAACAACCTGCCTCCACGTTGCTTGTTGAATTTATTTGGCAACATTGCCTGCAGTTCACCATACTCTTCTTCACGTTCTAATAAGAGTTTCATGCCATCAGGAAGGCTTTAGTTGGATGTCTTCAAAGGGGTGGCATTGCTTCGTTATATGCTGGATGGGGGGCTGTTCTTTGCAGAAATATTCCACATTCTATAGTAAAGGTATCTTTACGAACAATTACAATTTACTCCCTAGTCCCAAATTTTAATTCTACATCTGCTTTGCTGTTTTTTTTTGGTGGTCACTTATTTTGGAATTTCCAGTTTTATGCCTACGAGAGTCTGAAGCAGTTTCTGTTGAATGCATCACCTGCTAATGCTAAACTCAATTCTGGCCAGACGGTTAGTTCCTGAACCTCAACTTGTTAAACCATCTTATTTATGTGTTTCATTATTCAATACTGAACCTGTACTGTTTGGCCTGTTCCCATCACTAAATTCACTTTTCCAATGATGCCACTTACCTTAGATATAAATGTTAATACTTCAGGTCGAGCATAATTCTACTACACATTCCGAATTTTAGTGTGGTAAACTCCCTTTTTTTCTTTGCATTGCAGCTCATTTGTGGAGGTTTTGCAGGATCAACTGCTGCTCTGTTTACAAATCCATTCGATGTTGTGAAGACACGAGTACAGTTACAGGTGCAACACATGCTTATGCCACAAATTTGGTGAACCATTTTACTCAAGAAAAAACATGCTCATGCCACACCCCAGTTTGCATATATCAGCACAAGTAACTTACAGTTAAAGTTTAGTCTATTTTGATTGGTTATTTAATGGAGAAGCTCACGTCACTACATCGAACTCCTGCATAAAGTGCACTTTTCAACCCTGAACCCTAAAAGCATCTCTAATTGCAATCTCAAACTGTCGAAACAGTATTCCATAATGACGTCGATGCCATTGTTTTGACTATATGACACCTAAAATTCCATTATGAGCAGATAATTCTGCAGTGAGTTGGCACTTACTATGAGATATAGAAGCATTACCTAGAGTTCATGGCTCACTAAATGCCTTGAGGGCCAAGTCGTTTCTTGAAGGGGAAGGGAGTGCCTAGATCTGAGAATCAAAATTAGGTTTGTTCAGATTGTTTCTATTTGTACTTCCTCCGTTCCTAAATATAAGTCTTTTTAGAGATTCTAATGCGGTCTACATATGGAGCAAAATGAGTGAATCTACACTCTACAATATGTCTATATACATCCGTATGCAGTCCTTATTGAAATCTCTAAAAAGACTGTTTAAGAACAGAGGGAGTATTTTGGAGTAGGGAAGAAGGTTCTGACTAGCTAGGACCCATAACCAAGTTCCAAACAGACCAATCTTGTTAGGAGGTACTGCCCAAGGAAAAGAAAATGTGACTTCTGGATCAGGAATAATAAAAAATAAGAACCTGATAAAATTGTATACCGAAATGACTTCTGGCATTACCAGTGGGATCCAAACCACATTTTCGTTGGCTGACTCCAGTTTTCCTTGTCACTCTATGAACAACCGCACACTATGACAAACAAATAATCAAGAACAAACTTCATCATTTGGATAACAAATTTACAGCAATTCTGTTATAAATGGATGAAAATTGTCACAAATGGATCAAAAACCAGAGTTGATACATGTCAGCGAGGTTGTGGCGACGTGGCAGCCACGACACCAAATACCATTTGCAAAACCACCAGAGGGCAGAGAAAAGTGGACTGTTTCATTAGTTTGAGGTTGTATTCCAATGATTTTAGAGTTCAAGACTGAAAATAAGCCTTTTCCAGAGTCCCAAGGTCAAAAAACGGAAACTGGACCTTTTTTATGTTTCATTATAATGCTTAGATCTTTTGTTTTTTCCTATCACTTCTGATGGCTTGTTTACCTTCAATTCTTCAAATCAAGTGAACTAATAGTTGCTGCAGGACTAATTCTGAATTGATTCATGTTCATTAGGCACTCAACCCTGTTAGAAAGTATGAAGGGGTTCTTCATGCCCTTACGCACATTTTTGAGCAAGAAGGGTTGCGAGGTCTTTACAGGTACAATCATTTATACACGATACTACAGACTTACAATGTTACTGGACGCAAATTCGTGCTCCTCCACGTTATTCTTACTGCAAGCATGCAAATTATCGCTCAACATCTTTGTTTCCAGGGGTTTAAGTCCAAGGCTGCTCATGTATGTATCCCAAGGGGCGCTGTTTTTTACATCCTATGAGTTTCTCAAAACAATTATGTTTCCTGAACAAGAGCTTCAGGCAAACAACGTTTGATCGTAGAAGCTTAGAAGGGAAGGGCTCGTTGCAGCCCCGGTGGAATTTCTAGATCGATACCATGAGCTAAGTAATGAGTTGTTGTATTGTGGTTACAAACCATCCTTCAGAGGTCTTGTAACAAACCAGTGTACATCATTTTTGGATGCATAGGCATTAGACAACCACACCTGGTATTAACCTTTTTCTGGTAGATATAGAAACACAACATGTAGGCAAGAGGAATTTTGTATCATGAGCAAACTTGAGATGTGGATTTCCTTGCGGGAGGACATGTGAATATGAGTGTATCCTGGTTTTGTGTTCTTACATGGGAAAAAGGTGTCACTGAATTGTTAACGCTAATACTTCATGTGTGCTGGGAGGGTGTCAGGACCCCGACTCGTTGTCACATCGATCTAGCTTGTAACACCTCATATCACTTTGCGGCCTCACGCACGGTATTCCCACGGGTGTCGTCTTACCTTTGCCCGGGACCGTTTGCGTCTTTTGGCTCACGTGTATGATAGTGTCGCTAGCATCCATATGATAAGGAGCCCGGACTGACATGACTAGTCGTGAACCCAAAGTGGCACAGACTTACAGGGACAGGCATCCATGACCCAGCTTCGAACGTGTCGGTCATCAGCAAGTGGGTCCGGGCTGTAGCACTGGGCTAGCAGGACTCCGGTAAACCGGGCTGTAGCGGGCTAGCAGGACTCCGGTACTCAATGCGTGACATTTCCCCGAAGGGACAGACACCGGAACGAAGAAGGACACATGCCGGCCAGCCTAAGTGTTCCAGAGCAGTAGCAAGCTACCATGGCTCAGCGGTAACACTAGGAGACATTTCCCGGTAAGAGAGGCTACTAAAGATAAACAACTAGATAGTCAGATCCCACACATACCAAGCATTTCCATCATACACACAATATGCTCGATATGTGCAAATACAACAAGGCATCACAACATGACTCTACGACACATGTACTTTATTTAAGGCTCAGAGAGCCATACATAACATACACAAAGGTACGGGTCACACGACCCAGCATTCAAGTCATACAGTCATACAAACCAGCAGCGGAAGTAACTTGTCTGAGTACAGACAGCTAGTAAAATAAAAGAGGCTTGGAAAGCCTAGCTATACTACGTGGTCCTTCACAAGCTCAGGATCACCACCTGGGCCCTAGCCTACTCATTGATGTCAACGTCTACGTAGAACCCATCAGAAGGGGTTGCAGCGTCTTCTGTAAAAAATGTAAATTATAGCAACATGAGTACAAAGGTACCCAGCAAGACTTACATCAGATCCTACATACATGCATATTATCAAGAAGGGTTGGTGGAGTTATTGCAGCAAGCCAGCTTTGACTCTTGGCTAGGCTAACCTACGAGACTCCAACTTGAAATGGTTTTGCGTACACGAGTCCACTACTCACCACTTCAATACACTACCGAGGATCCGCCTCTGTCTTCCTACGGAAGAGCCATCCTCGGCACTCACACTTATCTTGAGGCTTTTAATAGTTTCCATTTACTTGTCTATGAACTGTATAGGCAACCAAGTGGTCCTTTACCGCGGACGCGGCTATTCGAATAGATCATGTTAACCCTGCAGGGGTGTACTCCTTCATACACGCTCTCACCACTTACCGTCGTTTACACGACATGTACTCGGCAACCTTCAAGCGGAAGCCCAACGTGGGTGTCGGCCACGACCTACCTAATCACCTAAGCCTCCAGTCCAGGTTTATCGCCTATCCAGGTTCCATCCGCAGGGAGTCCGGCCGAGGTTTCCCATACGGCCCCGAACGATGTGAGCAGGGTTCCCGAGATACCTAACGGGTATTCGGTACACCCGGCCACGTACCTACCGCATCACAGCCCACCCCTACGGTCAGCGCTGTCCACGGCCTCCAGTAGGCTACAAACACCAGAAACTACTTGCAACTCCTGGACAGAGAACTAGGGTGAATAAGAAGCCGAGAGGGTCCATTGGTTTCGGGCCCAATGCATGGTGGTAGCTGGTTCTTAAATCACACATACAGATCTCAGTGCTTAAGGTCGGCTTCAATGAAACAACCCACCATGTACTCCTACATGGCCTCTCATCGATACCTTTACCAAATCGTGTTCACCACACCACTCTTATTACCGACATAATCATTTCACTCTAGCCCATCACCCAGATGAACCAGACCTGACACGACTCTAAGCATAGCAGGCATAGCAGGGTAGGAACAACACATACATATGGCTCAATCAACTCCTACACATGCTAGTGGGTTTCATCTAGTTACTGTGGCAATGACAGGTCATGCAGAGGAAATGGGTTCAACTACCGTAGCACACAGCAGTTTGAAACGCGTTGTCTTAATGCAGTAAAAGAGAGCAGGAGCGAGAACATGGGATTGTATCGATATGATCAAATGGTTGGTTGCTTGCCTGATGGTTCGGTGCACTGATACGGTTCTTCGTTAGGGTAATCACGATACTCCTCGGAGGCAGAACCTGTCGCAAAGGACACCGATACACAACCATCACCAAACAATGTGCAACAATATGATGCATGCATGAAACATGGCAATATGAGTGTGTTGGGCTAATGCAACTAAAACCAGAGGGGTTTGAACCAATTTGAATCAAAGATTCAAATTTCAAACTCAAACATGGCCTTTTAAAGTGCTTTTCCTTGTTCTGCATTAAACATCAAGTTAACTTGGTTAATCATGCATGAAAATAGCACAGATGGATAGATTGGATTTTTCTGATCATTTTTCATATAAAATTTGTCTGATTTGAAGTTACAGAATAAAAGTTATGAATTTTTGAAGTTTAAATTATATTCTGGAATTTCCTATATTAGAATAATTCCAGAAAATCAATTATTGCGTCAGCCTGACGTCAGTGTGACGTCAGCAGGTCAACGGAACACGTCCGGTCAAATCTGACAGTGGGTCCCGCATGTCAGGGTGATTAATTTAATTAAAGTTTAATTAAAACTAAACCTGTTTAATTAACAGGGCTGGGCCCCACCTGTCATTGACTCAGGGGAGTCAACCAGGGCTCACCCGTGGTCAAAGTCAATGCCAGCGGCGCCGGCGTTTAGCCGCCGGCGAGCCCGACGCGGCGGCGGGAGTGGTTTTGGCCGTTTCGGCCACCAAATGGGTCGCGGAGACCACCGGAGTGGAGCTGAGGACAAGCCGCAGCTCTTGGTGGAGTCCGTTGGGGTCGGGGTGGCCGGAGTTGGCACCGGCGACGACTTTGGCGGCCACCGGGGTTCGGCCGAAGATGAACTTGGCGCTAGAGGGGTCGGTGAGGCTCGGGGAGTGGCTAGCTAGGTGCTGCGGGACTCGGTGAGTAAGATGGACACCAGCTTGTGGCCGGAGGGTGGCCGGAAGCACGTCGGCGACGAGATCCGCGGCGGTGCGGGCGTGTGATCCTCGTGCGGTGGCTACACGGCTCGGGAATGAGAGAGGGAGGGTCGGAGGAGTAGCTAGGCTCACAGCGCTCCCGTAGAGGCCA